CTTATCCGGCACTGGAGAAGGCGGTGGCGCGTTGCTACCCCGTCACCATGGAGCGATTGTGGCGCTTATCGGCAGATCCTCCACCCGACCCTCGATCGATGCATCGAGCTGAAATGAACCCGGGGTCACTGTACTTCTACAGTACCTCCACTTGTCTGCAGGGGCTGATGCGGCTCAGTGTTCTTCTTCCCTCACCACGCTCCCTTTCTGCTTGAAATTGCAGACGTTTCCTTGTGTGATATGCTCAGATGACAGCAAATATAGCCCAGTGAAGGACTAGGACTAAATAGACCCAGGCCAGTGAGATCATCTCCGACAAGATTTTGGCTTGGCCCTTGGTTGCGGATCAACACACAACACCCACCATCCTGGGTCGCAAGGAAAAGTTACTGCTACTGTTGTGGCTGTCATGTTGACCGCAAATGAAATTGCTAATGTGACCTCTGCACCTGTAATCAGTACCCCTGATTGTCAGGTATGTTCAAAAAACACCCTATTGACATGGAGACACGATTGTTCCTCCTGCCAGAACCGCCAGAGTGCAAAGAGGATGGTCGCTTACCGGTCGCTTCTACCCCCTCTTTCTCCCCGGGGGAGGGGAATTTCTGGCACACAGGCACCACAGCCACAAACCCCAGGAATCCAGTATGGCAGCATGGCTCTCGACTCCGACCCGGAAGGCCTATCCGCCACCGACTTCTACCCGGGGCTAGAATCGTCGGTCGACTCGCCGGCCTCGACGCCGACCCCCGCAACGCCCCAATCCGAATGCCCGGCGCCCCGAAGCATCGTGGCGGTGGACACGCCTACCGCCACTGCTGCTGTCGCTGTTGCTAGGGAGGGGGAAGAATCGGAAGACATCTCGCTCGACTCGTACATCGCCGTGGGGGTGCTGCGCAAGCGCAACCCGGTCTACGGGAGTGTGGAGGAGGACGCCCCGGCAGCGGAGGCGGACGGATACCCGGCCTCCCAAGTCGCCAACCTCGAGAGCCACCAGTGGATCCGGACGATCGGTTTCACCTACCCGGAAGAACACTCGTCGTGGTGCGGGGTGCAGGTCTACGTGCTGCCGGACGATGTGGGGCGCAGGTACCTACCACGGTCGAATATGGCGTTGCGCCGCGCGCTCAAGGTGGTCATGGAGAGGGTCGATCGCTCGGTGGAAGCGTGGACGGGCGACTTTGTCGCGGATTGGAACATCTGGGGCCCCACCAAGCGGGTTTCCGAGGAGGATGGGAAGGAGGAAGATGAGGAGTCTCTTTGGTACATTTTCAACACCCTGCAGGATCCGGCGCCTCGCGCAGACATGATCAAAGACAACCCGTATGCGAGGAGGGCCATGGAGCAGTTGCTTACGGTGGCGGCGCCGGCGCCGGCGTCGAGCGGAGGGGAGGGGAAGGACGACGGGGAGGAGTCCGGTCCGGATTTTTCGGGGGTATTGGGGCTCAAGACGCCGCTATATCCCTACCAACGTCGTTCGGCTGCGACGATGGTGCAGCGGGAGGCTCAGCCGGCGCAGATGCTGGATCCTCGACTGGAGGCCCGCAGAGGTCCAATGGGGCAGGAGTATTACTATGACAAGGAGGAGGGGCGCATTTTACGGGAGAAGAGGATGTATTCGGAGGCTTGTGGAGGTTTGTTCCTGGCTATGATTATTGTGCGTGTTGACGGGAAGCCAGACTGCTGACGCTCTACTTGCTAGGGATTTTGGCGGAAACGATGGGCTGCGGTAAAACACTGATCAGTCTGGCTGTGATTCTGGCAACACGGGGCCATTTCCCGGAAATCCCTCTGGAACACCAGGAATTGAAGCCTCAAGTCCGGCACACGACTGGAAGTCTGGTCGAGATGGCCGCGGCGACCGCCGGCCGGTTCTCGCTGCCATGGAAATCCCATTTTGACGAGCTAGGCCACTTCGGCGCCTTGTATAACAGATGTGTCCAAGCGTGTGAGAGGAATCGCGGTTCATATACTATTCCTCCGCCGCCAGCTAGGCACGGAGGCCGTAGTGGCGTGCCGTACCCACGGCCACCTCCCCAGAAGCTTTATCTCTCTTCGGGTACATTAATCGTTGCTCCACCGAACCTAGTCAACCATTGGGAAAAGGAAATCGAAGCCCACACCCAAGGCCTCAAGGTACTTACTCTTCGATACAACGGTGACCAAATCCCTTCCCCTGATGAGCTGTTGCAATATGATATCATCCTGTTCTCGAAGGTACGCTTCGAAAAGGAAGCTGGTGAACCGGCTCAGCTCACTCGACACCTTCCTGAACCTCCAACTTCCCCCTTGACCAAGATCCACTGGTTGCGTATCATCGTCGACGAGGGCCACAATGCCGCCGGCAGCGGACATCGGTCAAATATGGCTCATCTGCTCAAGCAGCTGCGCATTGAGCGGAGGTGGGTTGTGTCTGGTACCCCGTCCAGCGGGCTTTACGGGGTGGAGGTTAGTCTAGCCTCACAGGAGACCCACACCAGCGATACGGACTTGACCGAGGCGACGACGGCTGTGTTGAACGGCCGGAAGAAGACCGGCAAGGCTCAGGATAATGAGCTCAAGGATCTCGATAAGTTGCGGCGGATTGTGATTGATTTCCTTGAGCTGAAACCCTGGTCGAACTCCCGGAACCGGACAGACGACCAGGCCAATTGGGTCACATACATGACGCCTGTAGGGCCTGGGTTGAAACGGCGAAAAGCCTCATCACTCCGGGCTACTTTGCAAGGCCTCGTCGTCCGTCATCGGCTGGATGTCATTCATACTGAGATCACGCTTCCTAGACTTTACAACCGAGTCGTGCAGCTGGAGCCGACTTTCTACGACAAATTGAGTCTGAACTACTTCATCTTCATCTTGGCCGTTAACGCAATCACCTCGGAAAGAAAGGATCAAGATTATATGTTCCACCCCCGCAACCGGAAGCACTTGGGCCAGGTTATCAGCAATCTTCGCCAGGCGGGATTCTGGTGGGCCGGCTCAGATGAAGGCCTCTCGAGTACGGTTGACAATGCTTCGAAGTACTTGGAGAAGAACCGCGACAAGATGACCGGCAATGACATTGAAATGCTACAAGAGGGCATCCAGGTTGCGGAACAGGCTCAGGCGTGCAGCAGCTGGCATGCATTCAAGCAGATGCACGAACTCGGCGTGTTCGTCGAGGACTTCCCTTCGTATGCTCGAAGCATGTGGGCTCTCGATAGCTCCGGCGCAGAGAACGAGCCTCTACTACTTGGCATCACGCAAGCGCATCACGCGCAGCGATTCGTTACCAAACAGCTGAACAAACCCAACCCGGCCGACGGGCTCGCTGGTGCAGGCATCAAGGTGCGTCGCCAGCTTCGACTCGCCAGCAGCGAGGGCGACAACATCGAGACGAAGAAGACCACGCCAGACAAGCCGATCAAGAGTAAATCGCCCAAGAAGACCTACAGCAAGGGCCTGGCGAAGACCTTGCCACCTGACTCCCCACTCTCCAAAACCAAACTCGTCGCCACCGCCTCGGCCAAACTGACATACCTCCTGGACCAGATCTCCGAGTACCACAAAAGCGAGAAAATCATTGTGTTCTACGAGAACCCCAACACCGCATACTGGATTGCAGAAGGAATCGAGCTTCTCGGAATCGATTTCCGGATCTACGCGCAGACCCTCAAGCCTGACACCCGAGCGGAATACTTGACCCTGTTCCGCGAGTCCGAGGAGGTGCGCGTCTTGCTCATGGACCTCCGGCAGGCCTCGCACGGGCTGCACATCGCCAACGCCTCGCGCGTCTACATCGTCAACCCCATCTGGCAGCCGAACGTCGAGAGCCAGGCGATCAAGCGAGCGCACCGCATCGGCCAGACCCGCCCCGTCTTCGTCGAGACGCTCGTCTTGAAGGACACCCTCGAGGACAAGATGTTGCGGCGCCGAAAGGCCATGACCGACAGCGAGATCCAACACGCCGAGCGCGACCTGCTGGACGATAGCACGATGAGCTCGATCATCCAGAACGAGCGCTTCATCCCCATGCCGGAGAACGAGTCTTCCTCCTCTTTCACCACGCGAGTAGCATATCTGAAGCACCCCACCGGATTCTTCGGCCGACACAAGCTCGCGATCGCCGACGACGAGGATGTCGCGAGTGTTGAGATGGCGGCGGCGGCGGGGGGGACGGCAGCCGCAACTTCTTCTCCGAAGACCTCGCCGGCCGCGTTCCGAAGGAAACGCGCGCGTCTCGTGCCGGTACACCTCAGCGAAAGCAACTCCTCCGGACCGGATATCGTCACCCCGAAACGGCGACGGACCTCGGCGCCGCGATTGGGATTCGTGTCCCCGCAGGGAATCCTCATGACGCCTCCACGGAGCTCCAAGTCTCCGAGGCCAACGGTACCTCCGGGGGAGTCGTCGAGTAGTCGTGCCAGTCCGGCTGTAGGAAGATAACGAACTGTATTGGTAGGCTTGATGCTGGTTCTACATGACGGGAGAGACAGAGGGCAGGGCAAAACTTTCGCTGTATCTTGTATAATCTATGGAGTGCAGATCTACTTACTATGTATAACCATCTTGCTACAAGCAATGCATTGTATTCCGGGGGAGAACCCCCGGACCCCCCTCTCTTTCAACTTCCCAGTAACACTCAACCCTAATTCTCATAATTAACGGTTTCCGGGGGAGAACCCCCGGACCCCCCTTTCTTTCAACTTCCCAGTGACACTCAATCCTAATCCCCATAACAACAATTCCCGGGGGAAAATCCCCGGACCCCCCTTCCTTTCAGCTTCCCAGTAAAGCGCATCAGCAGTATCTAAATCCCTCTACCACTACCATGAATACTAAGTACAGTACTCCGTACTGTCGCAAAAACGTCCGTGCAATCGCACACACGCGATAACGATAAGACCGCGCCCCACCCCAGCTCAGCCCAGCCCAGCCCAGCCCAGCTCACCTCACCTCCAATCTCCGCGATAAACCCGCCGATCAATACCCCCTCTTCCCACTGCATCCATCCTTCCCCCCTCTTTCTCACCCAAGCTCTCTGCATAAGCACCGCACCAAAATCCCAAAATGCCACCCACCCCCCAACCCACAATAATTATAGCCCTCTCCGGCCCCTCCAGCAGCGGCAAAACCACCCTCGCCCGCCTCCTGCACCGCATCTTCACCCTCCCTGCCGGTGACCCGGAAATCCACGCCCTCCTCATCCACGAAGATGACTTCTACCACCCGGACGATAAGTGCGTTCGCCAGCACCCCCCCCCCCCCCCAATCTACCCCGCAAGACTAAACTTCCCAAAAGAATCCCCCAAATAACCCTCCCAACCGGCACCGTCCTCCAAAACTGGGACACGGCCGGCGCCCTCGACCTCGCCTTCCTGGCGGCTTCGCTGAGCTACGTCCGCGCGCACGGGCGGCTCCCGCCGCGGCTGCGGTCGAAGGAGGATCAGAATGAGAGCCAGCCGGTGGATGCGACCAGCCCCGGGGTGGTGGAGGAGTTGCAGAGACGGGTGCGGCAGCGGCTCCGGGCGGGAGCTGGGGCGGGGGCGAGGACCGTCGCGTTCGTGGAAGGGTTTTTGCTCTTCGCGCCACCGGCAGCGCCAGCAGACCGAGATCCGACGGTGGCGGCAGCGCAGCACCCGCTGCGGGAGGTCCATGAGCGGATGGATGGGCGGTTGTTCTTGCCGGCGGCGTATGAGAAGGTCAAGGAGCGGCGGGAGAGGAGGTCGGGGTATGTGACTATTGGGGCGGCGCCGGTGGTGCCGGTGGCTTCTTCGTCGGAGGAGCAACAAGCTGCTGCTGCTGCTGCTGCTGGTGGTGACAGCAGTGGTGACCCGGGGAAAGACGAAAGGATCGACCTGGAGGCGGAGGATGATCGGCCACCGCAGAATTTCTGGACCGACCCCCCTGGCTATGTCGATGACATCGTGTGGCCAAATTATGTCAAGGATCATGCGTGGTTGTTGCTACCGGAGGAGGAGACGGAGGACGAGGACCGCTTGCTCAAGGAGTCGGATCCCCAGGTGCTGGTCAGGCTCGTGGGCCAGGGAACTCGCTTGCGAGAAAATGCCGGGGTCACGGTGGCTCCCGGGCGCGGGGATAAACCCATCACGGAGCTCTTGACTTGGGCGGTGGAGGAGGTGTTGAAGCACCTAGAGGAAACGGTATAGACAACAAGCAAAGCCCATGACCTGACCATTGTAAATATTCTACCTAGACTAGACTAGAGACATAAGTGGTATCTGCTTGATACAGGTTCTGCTTCTCTCGATCTCAGCACAAATCCCTCACACTTGGCCACCGTCTGGCACAATCGGCCCACGCCATCCCAGCCAGTAATCCACCTGGTCCCGGAATGAGCGGGTTTGGTGTGGATGGAGTGGCTGCTGCTTCTCTCCGACTTCGTCTGCTCCACTTCCCAGCTCCTCCAATTCGACCTCCTCTGCATCAACAGACTCCTGTTCAGTCGGCTCCTCCGACAAATTGACATCCCCTTCGACTGACTCAGTGTTGTTCAGCTGTAACATCTGCTGAGAGTGGTTCTCGTCCGCCGCCACAGAGCTCACCTCGCTAGTCAAATTAATGCCCCTTTCACTCATGATGACAGGTGGTTGCGATGAGCCTCGAAATGAACGACTGAGAGCATTGGTGTATATGTTGTCAAGCCAAACAGAGGTAAACATGCCACCCACAGCAACCCCCAGGCAAAACACCACAACAAGACCCTTCGTTGCAAGACTCGCGTGCTTTCCATTCTGACCAGCTATCGCATCCTCGCCACGTTGTATAATCTCCCCACCATCCACCCCACTAGCTGCACCACGAGCTTCTTCACCAACGCCCATGACTTCTCCTGCCGTCATTCGGAAGGCCCCTTCGCCAATGTTCGCTCCCTCTTCCGTTCCCCCCACTGGAGAAGCATCTGCAGCGCCGGACTCTTCAGAGTGCGATAAATGCCCCAGCGGCTGCTCCTGTGTCTGCAAGCCAGCCTCGGAACCTTCAGGCGTCATCTTACTGGAAGACTCTCCAGGATGGTGATTCGCTGCACTTTTAGCAGGGGATTCATCGCCGCGTTCCAGGTGAGTGTATCTGAGATAATGCTTAGCACGATCATTCGAACCAGATGGTCCAGGGTAGACTCTTGGAAGCCAGCTGCTTGCTTTCTTGTTGTCGTTGGGAGAGAGCTTGACCGTCCAGCTTACACAGAGCATCTCGTAGTTCTTCGGGTTGCAAATGATTTGTAGGGTTGAGGTACCCAAAGGCGTGTCATGTTCCGGTGCGATCTGAACTACCTGTAGCCCTGTCTTTCGGGTGTCAAGTTCGGTTCGAAAGAAGCCTTCTGGCCCACCATCTATCGATAGTAGAACACAGCATTTTTCAGCACAGAAGCAACGATTGTGGAGCTTCACCGAGCAGAATGCCTGATACCGAATGCAAATAGCTTTCTGCTGGTCTTTGGTGCCCTCTGCGGCGCCAGAGCAAGGCATAATCTCCGCTTTGATCTCTTGGTCCACCGTGAAACCTTTGATAATCCCGTAGAAATTCTGATTGCACCGGCGAAGAGGTATCATCAGGTCTCCACAATAGACCAACTCGGCCAGAAAGCAATTCTCCACCATCTTATACCGTCCCAGGTTCGTGACTCGAAATTCAAGACCGTGGTCTGCTGGAATCTGAAAGAGCAGGACCCCTATTTCCCCATTTCTCAGCCTGGGCAACCCCGGAATAATCAGATAGCTCCAGCCACTTGGCGCCCCTTTCTGAAGTTTGACGGTCAAGGTGAGAACCATCTTGTAAGGCACCGGTGTTATGTTGGGAGGGCTTTTGACTAACAAAATATCATTGATGAGAGTCAGTTCCGGGTCACCAAATACCTCCGGCTGGGGTAATTTGGGTTGTTTTTCAAAGTTATTGGTTGGATGCTCCGAGATGGTAAGCTCTGGGGATCCAGGCTTGACAGAGGTCGAGCTTGTGACGGGAATTTGGGCTTCTGTGGTCACCCCATCGTGTTCAGAACTTGTGAGTGGAAGGCGAGATTCTTTGGGGGTTTCGTCACTGTGCAAAGATTCATGCATCGATTCAGTGTCCGCAGCTCCGTCTGTGCCACCGAACAGTGACCGTTGCTTATCTTTGAGAGGAGTAGTTGGAGCTTCTTGACTACATATATACTCTGGTACTGTTTCCATTGGGGGAAGGTGGTTATCGACACGGACTTTCTGATGCCTCCAAGACTCGTGCTCCCAAAGGGACTTTTCTAGAACTTCGATGTCTCTTGCCGTGAATATCGAGCCATTACAAGAGTCTGGTTGCTTATCTGTAGGCAGAACATTATTGACAGCTGCTTCTTCGATGTCTTTTGCCGGCGAGATCGAATCATTATCGGATCTCGGTTGGTTATCTGTAGGCAACACAATACTGGCAGCTGCTTCTTCAAGATCTTTTGCCGGCGAGATCGTGTCATTACTAGAATCCGGTTGCTTGTCCGTAGGCAGAGCATTGCTGACAACTGCTTCTTTGATATCTTTTGCTGCTGGGATCGAGCTAAAATCAGAGTCTGGTTGTTTACCGGTAGGCAGAGCATTGCTGATAACTGCTTCTTCAATATCTTTTGCCGGCAAGATTGAGCTACCACCAGAGTCCAGTTTGTTATCCGTAGGCAACACGTTATTGTTCGCTACTTCCTCAAGATCAAGAAGAGTGGCCGTGGTGTTCGGAAGGTCATTCTCCGCAACCTCGATGTAGCTCGAAGCACACAGGCCAGCATCGGATGATGTATCGGAGAGCACCGGTTCGACTGGTTTCTCGACCCTGGGTGTGGATCTAGAGCTTCGACTCGAATGAGTGGAGCAATAGCTTGTGGAGAGCTTGCCTCTCGACCTCTGCATCTTTTCCGCAAAGGGACTTCTCGCCAGGCTTTTGTGTCTGTGAGCAAGACCGGCAGAGGCAACACTGTGCGAGGTGTCAACGCGTCCCACTGCCTTGTCATTCAGATCTTCACTCTCCGTGTCTGATGCGGAGCTCGGGAGACACGCATCGGCAGCGCTTCGCTTTCCTAAGTTCTGGCTGCTGTTCCGGTCCTCAGATCGAGCGAGGTTTAGACATATGGGCGGCGATTCGAGTGGGGGAGTGATACGAGATGCATGTCGGCGGCGTGCTTCTTGAAGGCTCGTGGTCTTCAGACGTGTAACTCGGAGTCTTTCTAACCGAGGGCTGTCTGAACCAGAACAAGATCTGGACCCCCCAACCTGATCGTTGCTAGGTGACCCAACGTCCTTGAGAGAGCCGACGTCGCTGAGCTCATGCCCCGCGTTGAAAACAGACGATTTTCCCGAGTCAAGCTTAGTTTCCTCTCCATTATCTTCATGCTCAGTCACCGATGATGAGAAAGCAAAAAGGGGACTGGGAGGACGATATTCATATTTCGACTGATCGCTCTGACCGAAATGATGGGAATGGACGCGGGTTACAGAAGTGCTGATGAGGGAGATGCCCGAGTGCTTTGTGTTCAGAAGTTGAAACTGCGTGTTGGGAAGACACTGGACCTGTGGGCTCATATATCCGGTTTCTTGAATCAGCGGCAGACCCTTCAAGGCCCTGAGCATGCTCAAAGAGTGAGATGGGTGAAATTGCTTACCTCCAGCGAGATTCTTACGGCCACTGGATCCTCGAGATTGCCCGACCATGTATTTCGTATTTCCAGGTTAGAAATTTCAGGCGGACATGGATGTGATCCGACTCGTGCCTTTTCCAGATGTCCCGCCATGCTGTCCGAACCGGAAGCCGTGGTGAGCAGCAGGGCGTTGTCGAGGTCAAAGTCACAAAGAGTATGGGACGAAGGAGGAAGACGATCTTCGGTGAAAATTAGAAAGAGGGAACGAAAAGGGAAGGGAAAGGGGAGGAAAGAACACAAATGGTCGAGGCGATGCCCGGTGATCGAGGGTGAATGCAGTGAGTTCAAGTTAAGGAAGTGAAGTTGACTTGGATAAATTGCAATCCGGCCAGAAACGGCAACACCAACAGATTACCTCCTAACCAACTCCTAAATACGTCGAAACCGAAGGGATCTGATTTCTGACAGTACCAAACTGCCTAACTTCCATTTCATGAGCAAGGAGCGAGCAGCAAAGCAAAAAGACCTGCTGCCCACCGCAGGCCATAATACTGCTCCAGGTCAAAATAAAAAAAATAATAATATATACAACGAAGTCAGTAATACCCTCCCTCCCTCGTAACCGTCATCCTGGAAACAAGAGAAGCAAGAAGCAAGAGACTTAGCAATAAAATCCCCGGTGACCCATTTTAATTCCCCAGGCGCCATGTATCCCCAAGTGCCGCCGATTTCAGTCCCATGAAGTAACACCGACCGAACTGTCTATCCAAGTAACCCATAGCAAACAATGAACAGCAAGAAACCAAAAGCAAAAGAGAAGAAAGAAACCGTCAATATCAGAACACATACATCTGGACGTTAATTCGCTTATCGGGGGGTGCCATTCGCCGAACCAGGATGGTCGAAAGGGGCCTGGCCAGGCGCCGAACCGTATCGCTCCGCCTCATTCGTACCCATAGGCTGAGATGGTAGGATCGGTGTCGCCGCTTGAGACGATTGATCAAAGTAACCTCGGGCCGTCGCGCCGTTCGTCCCCTGGGGAAAGTTGCGGTTTCGTTGCAGAGGAGGGAGAATCGTTGAGCTGGTCTGATATTGCTGGGATCGAGGATAACCTTGAGACATCATCGCCCCTGTTGCATCCGCTGTCTATCCAAAAAGGGTTTGTTCTTAGTCTATCGTCTATCATTGTGAATAGATGAACGATGGGAATAAGAATTCCGTACCGGAGTGCCAGGCTGATTTACCATCCCAAGAGACTGCATCGTCGCTTGTTGACTCGATCGACTGTGAACACTTGGATCCTGCATCTGAGGTACCTGAGCCGAAGCCGGAATTCCGTAACTCATCTGTTCCGGAGTCAGCTTTAGCAAGAATTAGCTACGGTCTTCCAAAGAACACTCGGGTAGCGTTGTTGAGAGCGACTAAGTGACCGCCAAGAAAAGAGACAGGCCGACATACCGTATAGTCAGGAACTCCCGTGTGCCCCGTCGGATAACCCTGCATCATAGAAGCCGGATAGCCACCCGCTTGATTGTATATTGCAGTCTGAGGGTAAGCATCCATCTGGCGAAGTCGGCCATCTGCATCATAGACACCTCTGGTGCCCATGTCAATCGACGACATCCGTGCTCGCTTGGTTGGATGCGCCGCTCCGTAGTACGACGCATAGTCTCTGCCTGCTGCTTGAGGGTACCCGCTGAATGCGTTACTCGACATCTGAATTGACGAGCGATCTGGCGATCGTGGAAGCGGCTGAGGATAGTCCTCCGGTCGTGGGGGTGGCCGTTTTCTGTGTCCCAAGTCAGCCATGCCGCTAGCGCCATCCCAGTACATACTGTGAACTCCGTGGTTTACCTACATCAGCGTCCGCGGTTCTTTTCTAATCCTCAATTTTACTCCTTGGTCTGCAAACGATCGAGACAGAAAGGTCGACTCTCCCATTCCAGGGAAGCTCTTTGGAGGGTAAACTGCATCCAATAAGCATTGAATCTCGGGCTGTGCAACGGTCCAATAATGAAGCATACTCACCAGTGAAGCGGTCCGTGATGATGGATTTTAGGTATGTTACATCGTCCCTGTAGACGAATGTCAGCACAAGCTCTCAGCGTCCATCCTCTCCTTTCTCGTTCTCCATATGGAGGCCCACAAAGGCCCCCGGAACTCCCACCCCGGCCACTTGGAGAGTCTTACTTGCGCATTTCGAAGAGAGTGAATTTGAGTCGAAAGTCGCCCTCGATCTTCACGGACAAGTCTCCCCAAACAAAGAACCCTCCATCTAGAAAAAGCGCGTCAGTACGCGGCGCATGTCTGCCAACACTCCCGGGCCTCCCTTACCGCTGTTGTCCACGTCCTTCAACCGGTGAAGCGAGGAGACCAGTGTACCAGTTAGTGCGGTGGATGGTGCCACGGGAACAGGATTGTCTTCGGAAGCATCGTAGAGGCTGCAGCACATAAAATAATAGGGACTCTGGAGATAGTGTCTACTCGCGCCTATTAGCAAGGTGAAAGCCGATGGCACGAGGGCTCGAGGTTGCGGTCACATACTGCGCGAGATAAGTCCCCTCCTCTCTCACACGAATCTGCACGATTGGAGGCGGATCAACTGGCTTGCGTTCTGTCCAGGCAAGGCGATCCTCAAGTCAACGGCTGCTCGTCCATGGGACCAAGTTTCCTGGCTGCGACGTACCTTTCTCCTTCCCACCAGCCACGCGCGCCCGGGTGGGCTGCTGGCGAACGATCAAGTCGAAGTCCGCGCTGGAGGTGAGCATCGTCAGCGAGAAGCCCTGGATCACAGAGTAAGAGTTGAGCAGCCAGCTTTGAGACGACCAAGAGCTGGGGGAGCGACAGCACAAACCTCTGAGAATCGCGGGCCAGGGAAGCGTCCGAAAACGTCGACGCACTCATCAAGGCGAGATATTGGGGAGATAGCACAGATAGCACCGAATTGAAGGGAGCCAAGGGATCCGAGTCGGAGATCCGTCAGGAAACGAGCAGTGAACCACGTCTGAATAACAGCAGGATACTCAGGGGAATAGCTTGATATGATGGATGAAGAGAGACAGAAGGTGAACCGGTGGTTTTACAAGGAAGAAAAAACGGACAGGCCGGGGGGCTTCCACTCTGGAACCTGGCTGCGGAACAAGGTGTGGTTCGGAAAAGCACCAGAATGAAATGAATGATACCTACCCTCGTCACTTTTGCAGGTGATGGATGGGTGGTGGGTGGGGGGTGGGTAAGAGAGTGGTCTGAGGGGAATTGAAGTTGGTTAAAGGATGGGACAGCACAGTGTATGACCGATAGAATGGGAAGGTGGGATAGTGAGAATTGTAGTTAGTAAGTTAGTAAGGGTAAGGGCAGGTGAGTTTAGGCCCGTTGCAGCTGAACAAGAGCTGTTCTTGACCTCTTGGACCCAAGTACCGGAGTGGAGACAGGGTGGGAATTGCTGGGTAGTTCAGCTGCCAGTTGCGGGATTGGTAACAGCTTTCGGGGAGGGGGAGGGTCGTTCTTTAGGTAGTGATAGTTAGTGGTAGCGTAGTAAACTTTAGAGCTTCGATGATTTGGGGTTGGTGGTTGTGGTGATGAATGGATTGATAGGTAGTAAAGAATGGTAGGGACCGTTTGAAAACAGACGGTTTCGGTGGTAGCGGTAGCAGTAATAGTAGTGTGCGTAGTGTACGTAGTGGTCAGTTCTTCTTTTTTTTTTTTTTTTGGCGAGTGAGTGAGTGGTTGAGGGAGCGGGCTCGACCTTTGGTTAAGGTGGAAAGGTGGGAGAGTGGATGACTTTGACTTGGGTCTTTGGTGGTGTTGGTGGTTACGAAAACGGCGCCGAGGGAAGGAAAAAGATGGATGGTGTCGTCAGAATGCAAGCGGCAAGAGCCAGCCGAGCACGGTTCCAGACAAACCTTAACTGCCCAAGAAGAAAAAGAAGCAGCAGAAGAATGCACCAAAGCTGCAGCAGAACCTGTAGTGGTACTGTACCTTAACCAGCAGTAGCAGCAGCAGCAGCAGCAGCTAAGTCAGCCCTGGCGATCTTCGTGTCTCTCTTTCTCTTACACTCTCGGCTTTTGTGAACAATCACTGACTGATAGACGGACGAATGGCTGAGTGGTTGGATGGATGGCTGGATTGTTTGCACTGTTGGTCTGACCGATCGATCTTCAACTTCTTCTTCTTGTTTCCGGTTGATGATGTCGATATTCAATTGTTCTGGAGTTGACTTCCGGACCTTTTTTCGATGGGGTTTCTTCTTTCTCCCTTCTCCTGCCTTTTGATTTCTTGCCTTCTCTTTTCTTTTTCCTTTTGCCTTTTTCCTTTTTTCTCTTTCTAATCCGATTTTCAAATCCGGACCGACAGAGTAATTTCTTCACCAATGACGAAATATCGATTATCGATTTCCTTCTTAAAGTCTGCTCCCCAATCTTCTCTGTGTCTCTGTCACGAAATTCTGCCCGAAATCAAATCGGAGCTTTGCGACCGAGCAATATCTGGTTCACCCAATCCACACCAGGTCTAGATGGTTTCCCAAATCAAATAAGAATAAGGGAATATGTTGGTGTGAATAATAGAAAATCCGATCAACCCGATCCAGAAACCACCACAGACAGCCGACACACAGACAAACCCACGCTCGGTCAAAGACGAACACAACGCTAATCACTGGGGCCCCCCCGCACGTCTTTCTGAAATTTTTTTGGCCAAAGTCAAAAATAGATCGAGATGAAGCAATAGGAAGCGAGAAGAGCGACCTTGACAAGAGGAAGGAGTAAGTGTGGCGGGATTGAAACACCGCCTAGTGATCAGACTGTAGCTGAACGATGGGTCAGCCCGAGTCGCCTCCGACTGTCTTCTGACGCACAAACAAACTGCTTCCCTCCTAGAAAAAAAAATCAAATAATAAAAAAAAAAGATGAGGGTAAGCGTGTCAGGAAATTAGATGGGTAAGAAAAAGGTGAGCCTAGGGTAGAGATTTACTGGGACGACCAAAGAAAAAAAATAAGAGGGAAGAGGGAAACGTTCGGCGCCAGCTGAGCCAGACAATTGGCCCAGTGGAGCAGTTCCAGACAAATGAGCAACAACCGGCCACTCTTCGGTCGTCGAATAATGGGATCGTTCCCAGTCGTTAGATGGACGACCACGGTTAGGAAAGCGGGCTAAGGTGCGTATCAGTCTTGACGATCCGACAGGAACCGCAGCGACATAGGGATGATGCGCACATTGGCAGGTTCCGACGCAAGTGTGCTGCAGGAGGGGCGCAGCCCCAAAGTCAGATCAAACAGACGCCAAAAGTCAACCCTCGTCTAGGCCAGACGGACTGACGACGGACTGATCGAGCTAAGCTTGAAATCCACCGCGTCTGCGGCACACGACCATTCGCTTCCCCGAGCTCGAACCCCAGCCCACAGGCGCAACGGTTTGGCCCTCGTGCACGCGGAGATGGAGCCGGTTATGCAGGTGATGGAGGACCCGTATCTAGGCGCCACACGCAGGGTCTCCGACTTCTGGAATTGGCGCCAACGAACTGTTCAATGCTGGTCGGTGCGCGCGTTTAAGCATTCCAGTCCGCGGACCAGTCCCCCCGTAACTGTATGTATTGATTGGATCTTTATCGCCGTAATCGATAGCGGAGAAAGGAGGTCATCTGTAGATAGCAAAGAACCACACGCATGCACGCACACACACAGCCACGCCTACACCCACACGGGAGAGCGCACTTGGGGCTCGGCTTGTACTGGCTCGATTGCGCTGCACCCTCACAAACGATCCTAATCGGACAAATAATCAGCGAGGCCAGAGTACATCACACAAAGGAATTCGTATCAACAATCATCCATCTCCGTCACAAGGACACGAACCTTGAGTTAAGGGCTCCTTCTTATGTCATCCACCGGGATCCGTGTTCTTGACAAAGAAGGATCCAAGGGCGAGAGGACGGGGCAGCGCGAGGGGTCCAGGGCCCTGCAGGCCCACTCGGAGCTATCCTGGCGCGAACACACTCTTTGTTTTGCTGCGCGAAACGGCCTTTGGCGAAATTGACTGCCTTCGTTCGTTCTGCTGACTTCGTTCCTGCGACGCGCGCGCACTCAGGGTGCGAGCGGTTCTTGACTCGGTCGCAACCAACTGGTGCTTTGGATCTGGTGGGCGACGACAACCCGAGTCGGTGTCACGAGGTACGATCCCCTGCCGTTCGGTCTTCCCCTTCGCCAAAGCCTGCAGCCAATTCCCAATCGAAATCCACACCCCTCGGGGATATTCTTCGCAACTTCTCGAGCCCTCGTACTTTTTGTACCACCGCGCGATCTACCTTTTTCGGAGACGGGTGTATCAATCGCCTGCGACGTTGCTTCTACCTCAGTACGGTAGTAGTTTTCCCTCAAGAAAATGCGGCCTTGGGTTTGAGGAGAGGGAACAACCACTTTGTCCAGGATCAAACGGAATGGATAAGGCGGAGGAGGAGGAGGAGGAGTCTTGGACGACAGAGGCCAGTGATCGCAGCCACCATAAGGAGAGGAAACAAAAAAAAAAGGATAGCAGTGGGTGTGGGCCTCTTTTCAACGTGCAGCCGTGGGGAACAACAGATCAGGCTGGAAAGTCAGCTTGCTTAGCTCGCTGCACTCTAGGATTCTAGCTCGATGGATGCATCACATTGCCTGGATTTGACACGCAGCTCGCAGACGGTGCGTCTCCCCACAGGCTCCTTCGCCCCCCCTCCCCCCCTCCTCCCCATCGAGAAGACTATTCCATCTGGTGGGAAAGATTATTAAGTCATCGGATATCGGAACACCTTCTGCACTGGCCAAAGAGTTGCTGAAGCAATGTCGACAAAGTAAGCATGTTCATCCCAAGTACTGTACCGAGGACGGTACCTTCATTCTGACCCAGATGAAATTCAGCAGCCCTGAAGAGCTAACCTTACTTAAATAGTTGTTGACCGTCTGGTTGGACTACGCTTCCTCTCGCCGTGCATAATCTGAGGGTTGTTTGGTTCACGCTGTGTAAGAGCGCGGCTGACAATTACGCTTCTTCTCCTCCCTCGGTCCATACAGCGTATCTTTTTCTGGTTTGCCTCCCTCCCTTTTGTTCGTCTGGGTCTGTTCGGTTTATTGTTTTTCTTTTTTCCTTGGCCTCTTCTGTTCTTCCCCTGTCCGTGAGCCACTCATCTCAGATGCACTGCATTCCGAGACGCATACGGATCCTGGAACATAATAAATGGCAGTGGCAGCTGCATCTAGCCGCATCAACTGCGGAGCTACTGGCTCCCAGAAGTCCGCGACCGGATGTCCTGCAAGCTTTGAAGGGACGGCTTCCTGGGCAACAAAACCGTTAATTTTCAGAGGAACAGGATGGATCCATCTTATCCAGCCGTGGGAAGAAAGGTCTGTCGTCATCGTGCCGAAGGATTGGCGCAGCATGGCGCACAAACTCGGAAACCTCATCGCAAGATTGACCGCGTAGAATGGATTAGCGAAAAAGCAAGCGACCGAAGATTGGCATGGCTTATGCAAGGGTGAAAGAGGCCAATGCCCAGGCCTTTACGATCTGGGTCGGATGCCCGGAGGCGACGGGCCATTCGATCACTGTGCCTGCAAACCCCGAAAAAAAAAAGCAAATTCTGGAGGAAAGGAGGGGGGAGAGGAGTGGGTGTGCGAACGAGAGGCGACAAAAAAAAACACACAAGACGGACTCAGATAAGGGTTGGGGTCAAAGACTGATACGGTTTGGATTCGGAAAGCGTCATGCAAGCAAGAACAAGTGAATTATCGGAGGGAAGAGAGAGAGAGGGAGGAAAAACAAGACCAGATTCGTGTAACGAGTTAGAAATGGGCCAGCATCACTCCAATCCAGGACTGGACCGTCTGGTCGGGGTTTGAAGAAGGGCTTGTGATCGACGCCATACGGGGAGGGAACCTGTCAGCAAGTCTCCGACTGCGATGCTCCTCCAACAATTATATTCTCCTACGGAGGACTTCAGAAGAAGCTCCGTTTGGTCAATGAAGCCACGTTGTGACGGAGCCAGTAGTGGACGGGGTTAATCGGCTCTAGAGGGGAATAAGGGGATCCGAGTGACCTCGATCGAGATCTATCCCCCTGTTCTTATTGTCGTTGGATATTATTGAGTTCGTATTGCTGGTCAATTGAATTGAGACCAGACCAGGCCAGCCGTACGCCAGGCGAAAGATCACAATACCGGCAGAAAAAATGCCACACGCACACAGAGGGAGAAACACCACAAACATCCACAGTGGGTTAACTTATGGGGCTGTTATGGGGATTCAACTTCCCTCCGCTGCAATTGGCTCCCGATCCACTTACACAGCGATCTGGTTAAACTTTGCCAGACGAAGATGGTCAAGTCCTTGAGTCAGGGGAGAGAAGATCAAGAAAAGGACTGAGAGCAGCATTAGAGGTAGGGGAGAGGTGTGTGGCTCTTTTCTTGATTTTCCTTTCGCAAGACAAGTTTTGAAGTTGGACGTGCTTGTCTTGGTCGTCCACACTGCTGAATACTCTGCCAGACTGCCTGCCACAGGGAAGTTCTTCCTTCCCACCGCCCTCTTCCCTCTTTCGTCGATGTACATCTGCTTCAAGGTGGGGCTGGAGGGGATTGGCAAGGGAGGGATGGGAAAATAAATGCACGATGAAGTGTTCGGTTGCCTTTTGGGGGCCAGAACAAGTTAAGGAACTCTCGCACGGGGACGCGAAACCGTTCCCGGGTATTGTTGACAGGCGGACCGTCAACCATCCCCAGTGTGAACCAGACTTTGCCCAAGCGCTTAATCTACGCTACCGTTATGCTTATTCTGGCCCTGCGATCACCGCCCTGATCTCTCCTTCCTCTGAACCATGGATGTTCAACACTTTGGTTTCGTGGTTTTTTGTGCCCCCCTGGCACGATGGGAACTCGCGGTCGGTCCCGCTGAGGTTTTTGGTTGAGGAAGATCAATTGACTAGCTTGATCCGACTTTCCTTCATGACAATTGCGTTGTTGAACAACAAGAACAACAAGAACATCATCATCACGACAAACAAACACTTGCGATTGCAGGATTTCCTCAGATCCTCACGAATTACGATAACCCAGACCTATCAGATGGCCCAGGTCGGTCAAAGTCCAACTCCTACCCCTATAGGGAAGTGGACAAGGGAAAAGATCTGACCTGACTGACAGATCATCTCGGGAAACCGAGATATCACGCCAGCTAAGACGCCTCTCACAGCAGCGATCCAATTATTTATCATCGAGACGTTGGGGGTCCGAGACTTCTGTCCAAAGTACGGAGGGACGACTCTGCTTCTTTCTCCCCTTTCTGCCCTTTTTCCTTTTTTCCCCTCTCGATCTCTTTATTCCGTAGCGATCGTCCTATTCCCCTTTGGTTGAGTTCACATGGCTCTTCACCCTCTTTCGGGAAGGATTCTTCCTTCACATCCTCACTAGGCGAGGAATGTCCGGCTGCAGAATCACTCAATTCACCGCCACAATCAAATATCCCAACGATCATTATTGTCTCCACGTCCGCCACACTTCCAGACGATCTCTCAATTAGCTCCTGCACTTGTGAACAGGTAGGGCGGGGTTTGAGGCCTCCTACTTTATCTGGGCAATGCAGTAGCCCCGAGCTCCATGGCTCCAAGCGTCGACATCATCGCGCAGCTCCCCCTCTTATATGTAGCAGACACTAGTTATCGACGTACGGCCAGAGATCACGTGTCGTCAGTAGGTGGGAACCTAACATTCGTTATTATTGCAGGTCTCACGGACGCTTGACGAAAGTACTGTACGCCGCATTGCCACCTCAGCAGCGGGAGCCCCATCCCGGCCTTGTTCGGGCGCATGAAGTGCATTGACGAGACTGTTGATTTTTTTTTCCCTACTCAAAATCCGGGCCCTGCACCTCGGCTGCTTCGACCTGGCTTTTTCTGCACCGTACTTGAATAGTCAAATCTTGGTGGTCTCACTCCAAAAGTGCGCCGTACCAACTCATCAGACGAATTAAGTCGTACAACCAGCTTGAGCAACCGTAGTTGAGCACCAAACTCCCATCAAAACGTCGAATCATGCTTGGGTGTTCACCCAGAGTTGGTAGTGTAGATAAGATCGCGAGGGGAATGTTGGGAGGGGAAACCGATCGGAAAAGAGTCCCTTCGCTTAATCAGATAGTTTTTGCGGCGACACCTACTGTGTACTCCGTACACTCCGGTAAGTAGATCACCACCATCACCTCCATCCATCGATCATCCAAGCATCAAGACTAGCTAGAGCCGGCCAGTTGAACCATGGCAAATGACTCAAGTTCCCAGCTATTTCTCGGCCCAACTCAAACTTACTGACGGCATATATACAGTACTGTACGTACCCAATGCAAGTACAGTACAGTACAGCACAACATCGTGCACCATTGTCCAGACCTTTTCATACGCACAGTACTTTGTAGGGTAGGTACATGTAACTTACATACACTACTACCTCCAACTATCACCAAACCCACCCCCCCCCTCCAAATCAGAACCCACCATGCATGCACCATCCCAATTCCTGGATTTGGTGTCCCCCGTCCCCTTCGGGGCATGCGCGGCCGAACTCTATTCTACTTCCAGTACTTTTCCGCACCCTCAGTCGAATCATGCATTCGCATTCGTGGACGAAGAAAAAAGTATGTCAGTCAGGCAACCATTCCGCCGGCCTTGGATCTTATCACCTTTAATAGGTATAGTAGTTTCTGTTAACGCTTAGGGAGGGATTAGGGCACTAGCACTGTACGTACCTAGGTATGCCCAGCAAATCATCATCCCACCATCTAGCTGACTTACGGGATTGAGTTACCACCTGATCTCTAACTTACTCTGTAAGAATGTGTCGTGAATCCGCTGGAGCTGGCTTTTGTACTATCTACCTAGGTAGTCCGGTCTTTTCCCGCCCGAAAATCCTCCACTCCGCCTAACGAGTAGGGATTGAGAGGGAATCTAACGATTTAATCGAGCATACAGAAACTTTCCACCCTCTTTTACGCGTAATCCGCGCCCCTTCTCCCTTTCCCCCATGCCTGCGCGGTCCTTTTACACGGATATTCAGGTTGAGCGTACTGTCCTTCCAGACGATGAATCCGGGTGAGAGCTGATGTGACTCCCTCCTCATATCTAGGAGGCCTATCCGACTAAGAATATAACATAATGCCAGCTGTCGGTGTAGTACTGTATACTATCAAAGACGATAAAGGCAGGAAGAGCTGGGAGTGTAAGTGTATGGAAGTCGGCGTTAGCCGGCATAGACTTGCAGTACGGCAAGCACTCAGAGCATTGATTAGGAGTTGGAAGTACCGGCATATTTGGGAGCGGCAAGGTTCCAGTACTGTGGCAGAGCATGCATGAGATGGAGGCACCCAAGGGATGCTCACATGCATACATACATACATACATACATACATTGGTATGGGCAGGGCCACGCAACAACTGCAGAATACAGCGGAGTTCTTTCGGAATCGAACCCCTTCAGGAGAATACACGGGGATCAGAGCCCTGAGGATTCAGGAACCATGGAGTTGTACCGGGGTTGGCTCACAGATGAGCAAGCAGCGTTGCCTTCGCTGGTTTAAGCGCAGAAAAGAGACAATCCTAGCTATTCGCAAGAGTCACATTGTCTAAAGATCTCGTGGAACTACATTACATGATAAGTAGAAAGTGACTCAGATGAGAAAATAAGAAATTCCAGCCTGGAACAAATCCGTTGACCAAAGATCGAGCAATGTATCTGTGGGAGAAGAAGAGAAGAAAAATGAAAAAGGCCAATCGCTCAGGTGACGGACGACGAACCAATGATAGCAACAGATGCCCAGGCTCAAAGGGAAGATTCAATCGCTAGAAGGCTAAGAGAGACACTTCATCGTAAGAAGACTCTCTTTCTGTGCACTGACAAGTGAAAATCCAAAACAAAAACTCCGGGTTTTCCAGCCCACGCCGTGCTTGCAAAGTACAAGAAAAGCAGGAAGCCGACAATCCTGGTCATGAAAACATACTCCCCCATGAAGTCGGCGACGAAAAGACATATCCACTCCCAAAAGAGTAATGCACAACGCCTCGAGTCTCTCCCTTGTCCAGGAAACTGCTCTGAAGTTGACCAGTGAGAGTATGCAGTCCACCCGTCAACGTTCATCAAACCAGCAAAGGATTTATTACTCCATCACGACATCACCATCTGCATCAACTCCGTTGGCTACTGCTTGCTCTGGCACGCCGTTCTCATGAACTTTGACACTCTCATCGTCGGCAGGAATGACCATTTCAAGCTGCTCAACCAACGATTTCCGATTCACCGATTTGGTGACTTTGGTTTTCTTTTCGGTGCTTTTACCATTGACCGTCGCAAGGGCTTCGAGTTTGGGGTTTTCGACGCTTTCGTTGTCCGCATTATTCTGAGATTCCCCGCTGCCGTTCAATGTAGGCGTTGCATCGTCACCATCAGTGCGGTCCATTTGGTTCTCAGTCTCCAACGGCATCGCGGTCGGTGACATCTCTTCCAAGTGGCCGGCTGTCATGTTCTCGATGTCCTTGCCTCGTTCATTCTCAGTGCCGTTTGGCTCCACGCTGCCTGGATCAGCAGCGGGGGACTCCATGAGCTTAGCACTCCGGCCGCGGCGGACGCTCATCTGATTCGCACTGGGAGTCATGGATGCCAGCACTGATGATCTGCGAGGAGTGTTGCGACCGCTAGTACGAACGGTAGTCGGGGTCGACGCCGTCTTGAGGTTCGTCCGACTTCCCCACGGTCGGCCAGGGCGCTTTTTGTAGGATGGAGCCTGAACCGGTGGCCAAATCTCGAATCTCCACGCGGGTATGTCATTAGTGGGATTGGTCTCAGACGCGGTATTGGAGTCTGCGGATGTGGTGGGTGGCGGGCGGAAGCCATTGTTGTGGATCAGTGCATCTGTAGAAGGAGGTCCCGCCGGCTCGTGCGGAATCTGCTTTGGTTCTGGGTCAATAATCCCATTCATGACTGGAGGAACTGTGCTGTCTTCCTTCGACAGGTCGATATCAGTGGATAGTGGCTGCTCTTCCTCGTCACCTGATTCTTTGACATCCTCGCTTTCTTCGTCTAACCCTTCGCGGGGCGCCACTGCATGCATTGGGGCTCGATCGAATTGTGACTGATTGCTTCGGCCCATGATGTACGGTGTCCACACGAGCGCGTCTGGATTGAGCTGAACATATCCCTTGCTCTCCCAGCTTTGAATGCACTCCTCGAAGTATTTGTAGTCAAGGCGCAAAGCGTAAGTCTTGGTCACAGGATCCCTCACAAGAGCACGTAATGCTTCCAGACCTGACACAATGTCATCGGCTGTCATGCCTGTTCGTTCCGAGATCTCCGCGATGCTGAGAGGGGTCTTTTGGCTTCGTAGTAGGTAGGATAAGATGAGCCGCCAGTAGTTCCTGTAGGAGACCAACCCCATATCCGACAGAGGCTTCTCCGGCGACCCTGTCTTTCCTTCAATGCGTGTGAGCAGGTAAGAAAAGTCAATAAGTAGGTTTCCATAACCTTTCCGCTGATGAATAGGTAACGTCAGAATGCACGAGACATTATTCGCCGAGCTTGGGCGCTTCTCCTTGCTGAAGTACCCAACGAAATGGCATCCCAGGTCGTCGTACTCGGTCATGACATAGAAGAGGAAAGGCTCAACATCATAGTAAAGAGTTTTCGAACCCAGGAACAGCTTTGCAAGCAAGCAGAGGTTCTGGCAGTAGACCGGATTCTTCCGTCCATCTACCTCGAATATTGATATTGACCCTTCCCGGTAGATTTCGTCGCCAGGAGGGTGCTTCGCCGGGCATTTGAGTTTATGCCGCCACGCGACGTAGTCGGAGTTCATATACTTCAGGCAGAATTCGCAAATGTAAAGGACTCGGTTGCGGCTATACTCTTCCGGGTAGGGAGCGGCGTACCAGGTCTCAATCTCATAGCCCCCGAAATTAATGTACTTGATCCTAGACGGAGGACCTGAGACCTTCTGTGACGCATGCTGTACGGTTTCACCGCTGGTTTCGGTTTGCATGACTCTTCGTTGCCATTCCTCCTCGGCCTTGTGACGGGCTATTTCAAATTTGTCCCGATCCAGGTTGGTCGGCAACGTCTTTGAAGTATCCGCGTCAACTTCGGAAAGAATACCTCCGTAAGGTTTAGACTTCGACTCATCCATCTCGCGGTCGTTGAAAGAGTAAAACGGGGTGTAGTAGGAGGCAGGCGTTATAGGAGCAAAATGAGCTTGAGGCTCGGGAATAGGTGGGGGTGGCTTGGGAGTCCGGTGGTTGCGCGTTTGAGATCTGCTGCGAGGATTAAAGATTTTGGACAACCTAGACTCATCTAAGCGAAATGCTAGGACAAGGCGCCCATATTGCTTCAGCACGACGCGGCAACTTTCCTGTCCACTCTTACGTGTACGTCGAGAGCGCGTTCGAACTGGAGACATGCCATCAACAACTTCGCCCATGTCGCGGGATATTGCCCGATCGGAGCGCATTGAAGTCTGCCTTTGCCTTTTACGTAGGACAGGCGCATGCTCATCAACCTCCACTGACGCCGAAAGGGCTTTCCTCTTTCGTAGCGATCGAGAGCTGTTTAGGAGTTCATCGTTGACTGTTACTGTGTTGAAGATCGAATGAAAGTCAGAGCCATCTTCGCCAGTATGAGCTGGCAGCAGTTCTTTGCGCATGTTCTTAGCTCGACCCTTACGTTGCACCGGTGCGCTCTCCCTGGGGCTGGACCTCAGCTTCTCCCGGACGCAGGTGGGACATCGCCATGAACTGGGTCCTACCATGATTTAGCACACCATGAACAAGTGGTTTGATCAGGAATGAGATTGGGTACCTTCCGCGTCGTCTAACGCACTCTGTTCCCGGGCGCATTGCCGGTGAGCTGTCGGGTTGCCGAGTCAGTAAGGATCGTCCAACAGCCGGGACTGGAGAATTTATGGGGCCGCGAAACCAACATACAATGATCGCCACAGACCCCGCAAGTCAAATAATCCTCATACTCTTCACTAGGATCGTTGTCTTCGTCCTGGCCACAGAATCTAGACACAAAGCATTTCCCATTAGTTAACGGTGTTCCAGGCGATGCCCCTGATGTGGCTCAGAGCCCGGCAGGTCAGGGGCACGGGCAGCCAACTTGAGGTTCTAGACTCACATGCAGTTGCCGCGGACCGTGTTCTCCGCCTCCGCATCCTCATGGTCATTGCTCTCTCCTTCCCATTCATCGTCCGATTCCTGACTGCTTGACGACGAACCCGATGCGTCTTCTTGTTCTTGCTCGCTGTCGCTGCGATGCTCAGAAGCAGGGTCTTCCTCTGCCTCTGCATCTGCTGGGCCCGAAACCACATCTTCGTCATCCTCGGCCGGCGCTTGCTTGGGAAATTTCACGGCGCCAACCGGCTCAGCATCAAGCGGAGTGCCGTTCACGTCCATCTCAGGATCGGTTTCGCCTTCAGCATCCAGTTCTTCGTCAGGGCCAGCGGCCGGAGTGTCCTCAACGGGCTCGCCCGAAAGGGCGCGGTGCACAGCGTCCTGTAACTGTTGGTCCATCTGATAGAGATCTGTGTCCTCCTCCCCTTCAGCATCCTGCTCACTGTCCACCAAATCCGTGGGGGTGTTCTTGTCCAGGTCGTCATCGACCGGCGGCACTATTGCCGGCATGTTGTGTTACAGCGGTTACGACGGTCGCCAGAACCAACGGGTCTTTAATTGTCTCGGAAACTTCAAATCGAAAATAGAGGGAATCCGTAGCAGGCAGTAGGCAGCCCAGCAGTTGAAACTATACAGGCTCCCCGCGAATGTAGACAATCATCTGGCGCCGCAGAAAATGGGCATGGGAAATCATAGAACAAGTTGCCCGGGGCGCCAGCGAATGCGACTTCGAGATCGGCGAGTAAAGGAGTTGCGCTGAGAACCCAAAGTTAACAAGTTGAGCGCAGGCGCAATCAAAACAGCTGTCAGTGGAAGGGAAAGATGGGAGAGGAGCGGGATGGAACAATGGCGGATGGAACGCGTCGAGCATCAGATACGGGGGAACATACCTCTCCCACGAGCACAGCCAATGTACCTTGAGTCTAACAGCAAGGACCGTAGGAAAGAATCTCAGCAGCTGAAGAAGGCCGTCTACAGGCGACTTCCCGGAATCTACGCACTCGCCCCTTCTGCTTCTCCTGTGCCTGTGAGGTTGAGTGCCGCTGCTGACTCATCCACGGCCGGGTCACCGCCCCGCCTAAACCGCTTTGGGTCATCCGCCAGACTCTCCAGTTCGAACCTCCGGCGGGCTTTCAACTTCGCCAGTCAATTCCTCCACGACCTCAATTCCCCCGCGTTTACCCGTTGCGTCTATCGCTTCACTACACTAGCACTGCACATCATGGGTGTCCCCTTCGAGGCCTTGCTTCCTTTTGGAATCATCATCGGTGTAGGTTCTGCCAATGGTTGTCCCACAATTCGTCCTCGCGCTCGATTTGACTGATCATGACGTTACAGTCCCTCACTGCTGGTGCTGGTGGTATCTGGGCTGTGAAGTATTATGCCAACGGCTGGAAGCAGCCGCGTTGGAACCTTGACCTGTGGGATAGAGTGAGTTATCCCCCTTTCTTGCGATTGAATGACCTTGCGCGCTAACAGCAGAGCAGCAAAGTATGTGATCCATCCTTAACGATCCCGCCCTATCCATGATCCACCATTTTCGGAAATTTCACGCATGCGCGATCTACGTCTTGGAGAGGAGCTACAGAGCTAACGAATTGACTTCGCCGCAGTGATGGAGAGAGACCAAAGAATGACAGGAATATTCCGTGGTCAATCGGCCAACCCCACAGCTCCCACGGGCTTCGAACTCAACAACCCCTGGAAGGTACTGTGTCGATTCCTTTCGAATACAATGTGCGCTTCCTGTGCAGACGACTGACCTGTGCTACAGCTCGAGAAACGGATCTACTAAGGCGACCCCCGCGCCATGTCTGCAATTTCCTATTTGTGCCTTATTTGTTCGTCCTGCATTAGCTTTGAGAGAAATATCCACGCCTCGGGTTAGAAAGAATAACCTCTTTCTTTGTTATCTGTACAATTATTGCCGAGCCAGCGACTTCCTCGCTGCCACGGTAGAGTTCCCAAAAATGTCTAAACATTCTATTTGATCTGAGAAACCAAGCCGCGAATGCCTTCGATTTCATGCTCTTGGAGGTGCATGTCGAACCATTTGGCCAAAGCCTTGACGCGGTCGTCCTCGCTTTCCAAGGTTTCGACCACCTCCGAATGCCCGGCGACCCTTACCTTCACTGTGTTTCCGGCCAGGACACAGAGCCCTTTAATTCCTTGTCCGCTGTCATCACGCAGCATCCGCGTGCAAACCAGCGTCTGGGTGAACCAGCTCGTTCGCCGCTGACTGGTGGCAAAGTTCATGACCTCGAAATCCTGCGGGAAGAACTCCACCTCGGAGAACGAGTACATGGGCATCCAGGTGCTGTCCCGCGTATACCGGACCTGGTAGATCCAGACCTTCTGCGTCTGGTCCACGAACTCGGGCAAAGTATCGTAGATGAGCCGCATTTCCGAGGGAGCCACGTTCACCCGTGCACTTTCATGCTGCAGCGGCAAGGGGCAGGTAGGCCCGTTGTTGCCGAACCCGACGTCCACCTGTCCGACACGGAGAGTTAGCAACGTCATGTAGACCTAGAGCCATGTCGGGATATCATCCGATTTGTGCTCGGGATCTCAACAGCCATACCGCGTATTTCTCGCTGTCAATGGTCACAATCAAGACCATGTGTCCCCTGCGGTGTAACATTGCGCATGAGTTCTCGGCGTTGGGGTTCGCAACAGCATGCAACGGGAAACGGCCGCGCCACTTACATGCCTACAAAGAACCAGTTGCGGCTGTCGGTCGACGCATCGGAGGCTGCCGTGTTCACTCGCCCTCCGGTGGGATAGACCGTGTACCCCAGCGATCGGAGGACATGGTAGAACAGCATGGTGTTCTCCATGCAGTAGCCGTCGAGCCCACGGGACACCAGTTTCTCGTAGACGCATGCCGGACGGATGGAGATGGAGTGGTGCGCGGAGTAGTGAAGCCCCGAATTACCCCATGGAATCGAGGTCAGGTGGGCTCGCTGCAGCTCGGTCAAAGTGGCCAGAGGACATTCTTGGATAGAGTCGCGGACATGTTCCAGTCGACTGCGACCAGGAGTGGCATTAGGGAGCCCAATGCGCTCCAGGTAGCGCTCTAGCTTATCGGGAGTATACGTTGACGGTGCAGCCATAGTTCGTCTGGGTTTGAGTTGAGGTCAATTAGATTCGGAGGTCGAGTCAAAGCTTGTGAATGCCGGGAGTGTCCGGCAGTTCATCTGGATGGATGGATATTGTGGAGAATTACCCGTTTGGGTGCAACTCGGTCACGTTTCGCCTGCTTCTATAGTATACCAGTATACCAGTAAATCATCGACCGTCTGTTTCTACATGTGCATCTACATCTGCTGCACAAGCAAAAGTCATACCTCCAACAAGACACATGTGAATAAATCAATTCACTCTCACTAAGAAGCTCCCTTTGATCCGACTCTCCAATGACTTCTGCCATTCTACAGCTGCCAATGATGTCAATTCTCCGACCCTCGGTTATTCCACATGCTCGACGACAATCAGCAGCGTGAAGCATAAAGGCATGCTATCCACCATCGGACTTGATACAGAGCTCGACAGTCCTCTTCGCCATCTCTGCAATCCTTCGAGTCTCGATCCCACGCTTCAACCCCTACCGATTAACCCAGAGGCTCTCCACATGAACCTCCCCTGACTCTTCCATTCCCCCGGATTCACCCCGCATCGACTTATCTCACTCCACCACCACCACCACCATCATCATCTCTCTCAGTCTCTCCCAATCCTCAAACAAAGACACCAACCCACCACCAACATGTCAACAGCCACCACCCTCGAAGAAAAATTGCGCATCCTCCACAACTACTCCGCCTGCGACGTACGTAACACCCACGCACAAGATATCCATCAATCCTCCTAAAACCCCCGCACTCACACTACCCCCGGCAAACAACTAGATCTCCGACGCTCTCCTCAAACTCCAACCCCAAACCCCCGGAACCGCAGCCCGCGCCGGCCACCTCGCCGACCTAAGTACGTATCTCCCGTCCCTCACACACAGTCACCACAACCACCAAACCCCCCAAGCAACAAAAGAAGCATGAAAGCAAAGCAACCTAACCCCCGAAACCCAGCCCCCTACCCCACCCCCCCAAACCACCAGCATAACCCCAAGATCATCGCCCCAGCCTCCACCATCAAATTCATCTCCAAACACGCCGAGCGTCCCGCCGCGAGCACCGACATCCCAGAACACACCTTCCCGCCCAACACGCACTGGGTCGACACCGTCGACCGGGACACGATCGTCGTCGTCGACCAGCCCCCGACCCAACACTGCGCGGTCGTGGGGGGCATCATGGCGCTGCGCATGAAGCACCTGGGCGTGACGGGGGCGGTGGTGAACGGGCGCGTGCGCGACCGGGCCGAGTTCGCGGAGTGTGGGCTCCCCGTGTGGGCGCGGGGCACGTCGACGGTGGGGAGTGGTGCGGAGGCGACGGCGGTCGCCCGCAATGTCGCGGTTGATGTGGGTGGGGTGGTTGTTCGGCCGGTATGTTTTGTTTCCCCCCTGTCCGGATAAGGTCGGAAAAAGAAGAGGAGGGGAGGGGGGTGGTGGTGGGTTAAGTGGCTTGGGTTGCGTTTGGTTAACGAACTGCTGATGTGGGGGGGTGTTGAATCTAGGGCGATATCATTGTCTGTGATCCGGTGGAGGGTGTGGTGGCCATTCCGCGCGATCTGCTCGATGCCGTTCTGGAGACGATGCCGAAGTTGGTGGCGATGGATGATCGGGTGAAGGAGGCTGTGGGCCAGGGGGTCAGTGTGTTTGAGGCCTTTAAGCGGTTTCGTGGGAAGATTTAGATCTCGTCTCTGTTGGGGATGGGCACGGGAGTCCATGTGGTTGAGCTTGGAGGTTCTGGGTTAATCACTGCTCCAATTATCTATACGGAGCGGACAGAAGTAAAGACCTGACCAGTTCCAGAGGATACGGATGGAAGCGATTTCATCCCTTAATGGTATTAGACCGAATCCTAAGCCCGAACATCCAAAACAACGGTGGAGAGCAAAAGGTGAAGAGAAGCCCGCTCTTTATATATGAAGACACAAGGAGAGAAGATTCACATGAAGCCAGCTCATTCTAAATTTTTCCCCCTGGATAACTTACTCCGCCACCCACACGGCGGCCATACCCATGCCCGTACCAACACACATGCTGGTGACACCGATCTTCTTGTTGGTCCGCTTCAGCTCCGTCAGAAGCGTGCTGACCTGCCGAGATCCAGTGCAGCCGAGCGGGTGCCCGAACGCGATCGCGCCACCCTTGGGGTTGATCTTCTCCTGCGGCAGGCCCAGCTCGTTGACGCACCAGACGCACTGCGAAGCGAAGGCCTCGTTGATCTCGTAGATGTCGACATCGTCCTTGGTGATGCCCGCCTTCTCGAGCGCCACGGGGATCGCCTTCCACGGGCCGATGCCCATGAGCAGGGGCTTCACGCCCACGACGCTGCCGGTGACGTACTTGCCGATGATCTTCTGGCCGAGACGCTCGGCGGTGGACCGCTTCATCAGCAGCACGGCGGCGGCGCCGTCGGAGATCTGCGAGGCGTTGCCGGCGTGGATGGAGCCGTCCTTGGCGAAGGCGGGCCGGATCTTGCCCAGCGACTCGGCGGTGATGCCGTCGCGGATCCCGTCGTCGGCCTTGACGGTGATGGTCTTCTCCTCGTTGGTCTTGGGGTCGGTCCACTTCACCTGCAGCGGGACGATCTCCTCGTTGAAGAGCCCGGCCTGCTGCGCCTTGACCGCCTTCTGGTAGGAGGCAGCAGCAAAGGCGTCCTGCGCCGCACGCGTGATCTTCCGGTCCTTGGCCATCTGCTCCGACAGGACACCCATGGGGACCTTGCAGTTGGCGGACTCCGGGTGGCTCTCCAGCAGCTCGGAGAATTCGGTCACGGCGCCGGGGCTAGTTTCGGGATCGGGGTCAGTTCGCTCTCAGGTATTATGAGGAGGGGTGGGCCACTTACCCATATTGCGAGGACATGCTCTCAACACCGGCACCAATACCAACCTCGATCATACCGGATCGAATAGCGTTGGCAATGTCAACGATGGCCTGAAGCCCACTGGAGCACTGACGGTTCAAGCTCTTCACAGCCGCGGTCTCGGGGAATCCAGCGACGAGCGCAGCCGCACGGAACTCAGTGGCACCGCCACCAGGGGGCAGAACCGATCCCACAGCGATGTCTTCAACGACGCTGGGGTCGATGTTGCTCCGGTCGATCACCGCTCTGAACACACCTGCCAGCAGGTCGGCGGCGGCGGTATCCTTGAAGCCGCCCTTTCCACCCTTGGTGAGGGCCGTCCGCAGAGCACATGTCACAACAATATCATCGGAGTGCTTTTCCGTGAGGGCTGCGGCGCCTTTCTTGCCTCCGGGACCGAAGTGAGAAGCCACCTGGCTGAGACGTTGCTGGGCTAGTATCCTGCTGTTAGCTTGGAGGTTGCGGGGTGGATTGCGTTGGAGGGGTGTTAAAACATACGAGAGGACATAATGACGTCAATGAATGTAGTCAGAAGGAGATAGATAAGTATGTCCTGACAGCAAGAGGAGGGGGGAATGATATTTTGACAGAAGCAGGATCGAGAAGAAGATGCAGCAGACCTCCTTTTGGCTCTTATAAGATGGAAGTCCGGGGAAGAGATAGCGTGGAGAAAGTCATTCAGGTAACTGGAACCCCGGCCTACCAACGCTTTAGTTACTGGTTGGCTGTTGAATAATAATAGGTAATCCTGTGAAAGTACCGAGGCTCGGCCGCATTATTGTTAGTCCGTGGGGATGGGTCACGGGATCGCCGAAAAGCATGGAGATTCATGTGAAAGACGGATGTTGGGGATCCATCCTTGACTGGCCGATGACCAGGCTGACTATCTGCATCGTCGTCATGAGATCAGCAACAGTATCCCAGATCTATTTGCATGTGACGGAGTCAGTCATTGCCATGGATAGTCGATCATAGTACTGTCTCGGCTGCTGATAAATTCAAGACAAAAGCTCTCTACCTATGCTTCTAATAACATGTCCGTCCTGTCTCTGATATGACAGACATCATTACCGCATTTAACGAAAGTCATGCTAGCTAAAAGCCATTTGTAGCTTAGTCTATACTTCAAAATTAGACCATCCATATACCAGGCTCTCTCTCCCTCAAGCACAAACAGTACTATAAGCATAAATCCCCAAGGCGGTGAGCCACCGAAAGCGGCGAGCAAGTATGCGCGTACCGCGATCCATCATTTTCTGCCAGCCAAAAACCCCGATAACCTATCCAGCGCCAGCCCAAGAAAATAAGCCTCCGCTTTGCGCCTCAACTCACCCGCCGAAGAAACCCAGCAAGAACTAATCCTCCAATCCTTCAACCCTCCCACCCCAACAAGCACACACCACCTAGCAATCCCAATGCGCCTCCCCCGACACCTCCCGACCTCACTCCTACGACCAGCCATCCCAACAGCTCGTCCCCTCCCCCCGCAATGCCACCTCCTCACCCATAACCCGATTATCCGGCCGGCGCTGGCCAGCCTCTCCCCGCCGCCCCAAGTACGTCTCTCATCGCACCCATTCTTCAAGACCAAAGACTCAAAACTAACACCGCAAAAGCAACCCCCAACAATCCGCGCCTTCAGCACCACCTCCCCCAAACCCACCGCCTCCCCCTTCCGCCTAACCAGCACTCCAAACCCTAAGAACCCTCCTCCGACCGCGACCGACGCATCCCCCGCCGCACCCGAACCCAACCACGATGACCCCAACGCAAACGCCTACGCCAGCCCCTACAAGCCCAAGCGCCAATGGCCCCCGGACATGTCGAAGCTCTCGCCGAAGCACCAGTTCCGGCTCGAGCGCAAGTACCGGCGGCGCGCGGCGCTGAAGTACGCCCGGCCCAAGTGGACCAAGTTCACGAAGTTGGTGCAGTGGTTCAGTATTGGGTGTAAGTTTCGTTTTTCCCCTGGGATTCTTGGTTGTGTGGGAGGGAGGACACGGGGGATGGGGGGACGGGAGAATGGGGTTGGGACGGTTGAGCACTGCTGTGGCGAATGGTTTTGCTAACCTGGGTTTCGTTTTATGTGTGACAGTTGTTCTCGTTTATGCCATGTTGTTTATGGAGTGGGATGAGAAGGGGAGTCCGTTTGATGAGGTAAGGCTTATTTGCAACCCCCC